TACATATATATATATACACATATATACACATATAATATATATATATGTGTGTGTATATATACATATATATACATAAATATACATATATACATATACATACATATATAATATATATGTGTGTATATATACACATACATACATATACATATATAACATATATATGTGTGAATATATATACATATATATATACACATACATACATATACATATATACATATACATATATATATATTATATATAATATATATGTGTGTATATATATGTATATATATGTGTATATAAATGCTCTGCGACTGGACTAACCAGTGAAGTCTAATGTGTCACGGCTGCAGTTACTCTAAGTGTCCACTGAATGTGGTCTACAGTGTGAATCCAACTCCATGTAGACTGGATCATCAAGACCAGACCACAGACCTTTCAAATCGTGTTGATCAGGCCCCTAAACCCAGCCACACCTGGGCCGCAGCCCGGTCGTGCAGCCCACTCTGGGGTCACAGACCGTGGAGTTTTTTAATAAACACGGAGTAATTTCCCTGAGTGGATTTAAAGAGCACTGAAAACAAAACAAAACGCTTCATATTTTCACTTCCTGCACATATAAAAGTTTTTCTTTTTTTTTTTTTAAATGGGATGTGACCCAGTGTTGACCACCCACACTCATTATGTCATGATGACTTGACGAACTCTGAGTCAGTTACAGTCGAAGGAGAAGTTTAAAAAAAACATGTACTCACCACAGGACGCCGTCTGTGTCAGGGCCAGTATTTGGAGTATTTAGAGTACACAGAGTACTTCTTGATGGTGTACTGAGACGTAGTCCTGTGTTCCATACACCGCACAACCCCAGGACACGGACTGGGGCAGGTGTACAGAGAAAGAGGGCTTTAATGGCAACAGGGCAGTTTGTCATGGTGCTGAAAAAATAATTTAAAAAAAATCTTTAAAATTGTAACAATGTAAGATTTAATTAAAAAATACAATAAATAATTTTAAAAAACCATCTTTTAATGATTAAAGTCATTAAAAGCCTGAACCTCGCAGTATTAAACGACCTGACTGAGCAGGAAGGTTGTTACATTAGGGAGTCATTCCTCTGAGCTCCAGCAGAGGGCTCCCTCCGTTTCACTGTGTCCAAGTGGGCCGCAGTTCAGAGAGCATCTGCGGAACACATCAGTGAAGCAGGAACAGGTCAATTAGACCAGTGGTCAGATAACGAACAGGACAAACAGGGTTTGGAATTCATGCCAGGTCAATTCAAGGACTTTCCAGGTCCAGTTCGAGGTTTCGTTAAAGAAAAAAAAATATTTTTTTCACCCTAATATGAGCAAATATCAAAAACTTACACAACATTAAATGATTCCAGGACTTTCAAGGGTTTTCAAGCACCAACATGAATCACATGTCCTGGTCTAAAAAAAAAAAAAAAAAAATTAATTTTCCCAGAAGCATTACGAGAGTGTGATTTACTGCCCACGGTGGGTGTAAATGTGAGAGCGGGGCTTTAAAGCCTCACCCCTCCTCCCCCTCCAATCCCTGGGTTTCAGAGATTAACTCAGAGGCTGGATTAAAATCTCAAAATAGAGAAATCCTTTTTAGACGAGCAGATTGATTAAAAACTAAAAACGTGGAATTCTGGAGCGAGGAGAGACGAGCAGGAACTCAGTTTTATGGGGATATTTTTCTTTAAAACGCTGTGTTTGAACAAACGTACAGTCATAAAAACTGAAGCTCTGAGGTGGAACAGAGAGCGAGGGCTCCCCCCTCAGGTCAGTGGACAATGGGGGCTTTGATAGAAGAAAAAAAAAGAGAGATAACACAGATAAAGACTATTCACAAGATAAGTTCTATAGATGAGACCAATAGTTAGCTGTTAGCTGTTAGCTGTTAGCTGTTAGCTGTTAGCTGTTAGCTGTTAGCTGTTAGCTGTTAGCTGAACGGGAGGGAGGGCAGAAAGGCCTGACTTCCAGGTCCTCGACACGAGGACAGGAAATAAATTATAGGATAAAAAAAAACAAACAAATGTAATGAAATGAATTATTAATACAAAATATAACCAGACAATAATGCAACTATAAAAAGTCTCGGGCCACAAAAACCCTCTTCAAGTGCCACCGTTCGGTCCCCGGGCCAGATGTTGAACATCAGTCTGTTTTATACAGAAATTAAAAAAAAAAATTTTTTTCATTTAAAGTGAAGTGAAGGGACGAACGTTTTTTAAAAAAAATTCTTTTCAGTCATTTTGAGGCCGTGGTCTCAGGGTCTCGGTCTTCGCTGCAGTTTGTGGGAAACGCTGCAGAGACAGAGTTTTTTTTTTTTCTCTTCGTAGGAACAGACGCTTGATATCGTCATCGCCGTTTGGTTGTGGGAAGCAGGTGTATGTGAGCGCGGCCGTGCAAACCAAATTTAGTCATGTGCTAACTTCCCCCCGCGGACCCCAGGTTCCCTCTGCGTTTCCCAGCAGAGCTCACTTCCCCCTGCCCCCCCCACCTGCACATGTACCACACACACAAGGCTGCGTCTGCTGCACGCACACACACAAACACACACACACACATACACACACACCTCGGCCGTCAACATTTATGTTGTTTTTTTTTTACTTTTTAAAATTTAATCAACTTTTCTTCTGCCGCTCCTCCTCCTCTTCTTCCTCCTCTTCTTCCTCCTCTTCTTCCTCCTCTTCTTCCTCCTCTTCTTCCTCCTCTTCTTCCTCCTCCTCTTCCTCCTCCTCCTCCTCCTCTACGTCCCATCCTCCGTCTCCACAGCTCCTCTCTCTCCTTCCAGACCTGAGCTCTCTTCCTTCCTGTCCCACTCACAGCTTCCTGCTCCGTCTCTTATCACTCCAGAAAACCTGACACAGTCC